GGTTCAAACCCACCAGCCACTCCTCGGAAGGAAGGTTGGGCAATCCTACTTCCGTAGTGATACTGCCTCGGAAACCCAAGGACGGGTCGCTATGAGTCGGGGCCGACTCGACGGCACATAACAACAACAACAACAACATATATATATATATCCTACCAATTCTGTTTCTCTGGAGAACCTTAGCTGATATTAACAGAGTGGTTGCTGTGTCAAATAAATTTGAAAGGCATAGCTGCAAGTGGTTACTAAAAAACCAAACCCATTGCCATCAAGTTGATTAAGACTTATAGTGACCCTATAAGAACTGCCCTATAGGACCATGGTCATGGGGGACATCAAGCTCAGTTGTTATAACACACTATACAAAAACATTGTTCTACATCATACTTTGGTGAGTAGTAACTGGGATCTTAAAAGCTTGCAAGTGTCCATCTAGACGCAACAATGGATCTCTCCTTGTCCAGAGTGAAGAAGAATGAAGAAAACCAAAGATGCATGGAAACAATTAATCCAAAGGACTGGTACACCATGTGATCCTCAGCCTATATGACCATGAGACAAGAACTAGATGGTACCCGGCTACCATTGTAAACCAGTCAGAGGGGGTTTGGTGCAGGAGATCCTGGGCCAAGTGGGAGAAGAATGTGGAGCAAAACTCAAAATCATAACAAAAAAAAAAAAAAAGACCAGGTTTGCTGGTCTGATAAAGCCCAGTGAGACCCCTGTGACCATGGCCCCTAGCCACCCTTCAGGTCTGGAATTGAACTCACTCCTGTGGCTTCCAGCTAAACAACAGACAGGCATATGGGATAAACATTTACATCGGGTAGATACACTCCTTGGAGTTATCAATCATGGGAGAACAGAAGGGCATTGTTTGTACAGGGAGACAGCTCGGGGGTCATGAGTGCATGGGAGGGAAGGACACAGGGAAGAGATAACTACGAGAAGGAAGTGGGAAGAGAGCTGTTACATTGTGGGGAATTACAGTCAGTCATGAGACAAAATGTGTATAAACTGCTGTATGGACAATAAATTTGCTCTGTAAAATTTGATCCAAATGACAATAAAAAGTAAAAAAAAAAAAAAAAAAAAAGAAAGAAAAACTGCCCTATAAGGTTTCCAAGACTGTAAATCTTTATAGAAGCAGACTGCCACATGTTTCGCCTGCAGAGCAGCTGGTGGGTTCAAACCACTGACCTTTTGGCTAGCAGCCAAGAGCTTAACCACTGTACCACCAGGGCTCCTTGCAGGTGGTTAAGATGTAAAAAACATAGAGAAGGAGCAAGAATAAGTAAGGTCAACTATTAAGACCTACTTGTTATTTATTGAGACACCCTGGTGTCACAGTGGTTAAAGCACTCAGCTTCTAACGGAAAGGTTGGTGGTTCTAACCAACCAGCTGCTCCACAGGAGGAAGATGTGGCAGTTGGATTCTGTAAAGATTATAGCCTTTGAAACCCTATGGGGCAGTTCTTCCCTGTCCTATAGGGTTGCTATGAGTTGGAATTAACTTGATGGCAATGAGTTTGGTGGCGGTTTTTTTTGTTATTATTTTATATTAACTATTAAGACATCCGTAAATTTAATTCCACCTCAAATTCACACCATCCCATCCTGAACTTCTGGAAAAGAGCTAGGAGCTATCACAGGATCTTCTGGGCCCCTCCCACAGTAACAAGAGCAATTTCTAGCTAGTATTCACTGTATCGGGAGCTCTGGTAGCATAGTGCCTAAGGCACTTGACTGCTAACCAGAAGGCTGGTGGTTCAAACCCACCAGCCACTCCTCAGAAGGAAGTTCCATAGTGATACTGCCTCAGAAACCCAAGGAAGGGTCGCTATGAGTCGGGTCCGACTTGATGGCACATAACAAAACAACAATAACATTCACTGTATCACAGGTATTTCTTGACTAAATTACAATAAAGCACCACCTTCTCCATGCTAGAAAGTAGTAAAAAATCACTCATACGGCTAAGTGCCACCACTGAAACGAGTTCAGCTTATAGTTTCAAATTTACTCCTGAAGAATGAGCCTAACAGTTTAGGCTGGAAGGCAAATCAGACAAGAGAAATGAATATCTAATTAGACAAAAACAAGACATCTGTCACTTTTCTTTCACAAATTAATTTCCTTATTTTTCACTCATTCTGTATGAATACAGTCATTCTTTAAAGGATCTTATATGATGGCAAAACATTTTAACCTTGAAAGAGTAAATTAAACTCATTGTATATTAAAAAAAAAAAAAAACAACTCACTGTCATTGAGTCAATTTGACTCATAGCAACCCCTCCTTGGGTTTCCAAGGCGGTATCTCTATAGAAATAGAGTGCTCAATCTTCCTTCCCAGGAGTGGCTGGTGGGTTTGAACTACCAGCCTTCTGGTTAGCAGTCAAATGCCCTAGGCACTATGCCACCAGAGCTCCTCATTGTATAATAACAACTTTTAAAGATGAGAACAAGATTTCCAGTTTTCATATAGCTCCAAAAAGTAATGATGTTGAGTATGTTGTTTCTAACTCATAGCACCCCACGTGACAGAGCAGAAGTGCTCCAGGGGGTTTTCTAGGCTGTAACCTTTATGGGAGCCCACTGCCATTTCTTTCCTCCCACAGAGCCACTGGGTAAGCTCGAATTGTTTTTAGATAGCAGACAAGTGCTTAACCATTCTGCCACCAGGGCTCCTTTCCAAAACATTATAGGAAGATCTTTTACCCCTCGTAAGTTACAATACACTTTTGTCCACCCCATCAAGCAGTTACCTTTTCAAGTTCATCCAGCTTTTAGCTACTTTGGTAAAGGCCTCTGAACCAGGCGCTGTCATAGCTTCAAAGTCAACTAACTGAAAAAGAGAATTTTAGAAACATAATTAAATATGAAGGAGGAAGGCTCAGTTTGAAATGTGTTCAACTCATGCTAAAATAAAAATCCACAGATTGATGGTTAACACACAACCTCTCCCTCATTTCGACTCTAGCATACCTTTCCTTTGGGAATTTTTCCTGCTACTTCTTTTCCACTTGCCATCAATGCTCCCACTATCACCGAATAAGCTATTACACTGTTAAAATAAAGAAAAATGATTAATCAATCCTATCCTATAGAATTCTATAAATAACTACGATGTGAAAGGCTCACCATGTATTTTCCATCATAAATAAACTTTTCTTTCTTTTAAGAATTCTTTGTATGTTAAAAATAAGAGTGCTTTTATTTGCCTTAAAAATATTTACTAATGTACTAAGGGTAACTGTGACCAAAACATTCTTTTTCTGAGGAAAAATATTGTGTTTCTTTCTATTAATAGTTTTCTTTCCATTTGGGTTTTCTATTCTAGTGAAATAATGAGTTACAAAAATGTCTCATTTATATTTTTAACAGTTTCATGAGGCTTAGCTTTAAAATACATACGTACTACATACTTTGAAAATAATCTTACTTTCCAAGCATTAAAAACCTCAGTCTCCAAAGAGGAAAAGAAGAACACATACTCAGAATGTGCTAACACACTGTTCTGAAACCATGTTCTATAAATTTCTTCCTTGACATATAACAGATCATTCTTGATTTGGATGTTTATTATCTGACTGTGCACTTCTGCAAGGCAGTAAAGACACAAAGAAAAGACGAGGCTCTTGTGTTCTCAGCATGCAACCCAGGAGACAAACAGCAGGAAGCTCAGTGAACACTGTAGAGTGCTCTGAGAGCACGGGAGAGCACAAGTAAATCCCCGGGACAGCTCACCATGGAAGACCTAATAGAGGCTTATAGGCATTGGAGCTGCACATTTAAAGGATGGAGTGGAGTAAAGGAGAGACAAGATAGCAGGGACATAGGCTGAACAGAAGAAAAAGCATGTGTATTGACACAAAGGTATCCAAAAAAGCATGGAGGAGTGGAGAGTGCAAACACAAAGAACCACATGATATTCCTATGGTAGAGAAAAAGGTAGATGGAAAGAAGAGGTGATTAAGCTGTGAAGTAAATCAGGGCAGGACTGGCACAATACCCCTCAGTTTGGATCTGTGTCAGTACGTAGTTGCCAAAGCACTCTAAGCAGGTTTGCATTTCAGACATAACAGATGGTTTGGTGGTACACAGGGAGGGAAAGGAGAAAAGCCCGGCGGCAATGGGGGATTGGTTAGATAGGTCATAGTAGGAGATAAGGGCCTGAACTTAGGGAGTAACTGAGGAGAAGGAAGAGAAATAGAGGCTTTGGAGGCATAACCAACAGAGTTTAGGGAATGAACAGATGTACAGATGGAAGGAAAGGATGACTGAAGTTGTATTTCCTTCACACACCACCTGTGAGCCAGCAGAGCTGCTGTGACAAGAGAGGATGAAATGAGGAGTATAATGCACACACTGCCTGCAGGGTGGCTGGTAAAAATCAGTATGCATAGATAGGCCTTATGCACATCACACGTTTAGTGGACACAATCATAATTATGCTGACTAAGCTCTGGTGGCACAGTGCCTAAAGCTTTTGACTGCTAAACAGAAGGCTGGTGATTCAAACCCACCAGCCACTCCATGGAAGGAAGACTGGGCAGCTACTTCTGTAAAGATTTACCACCTTGGAAACCCAAAGCAGGTAGCTATGAGTCAGAATTGACTCAATGGCAGTGAATTTGGTTTTTGGTATACACAATATGTACATTCTTGTTTTGTTTCAGTAGTTTATTAGTATAACATATTTCACGATCATATTTAGGAGTTTTATTTTCTAAAGCATTAATTAAAGACAAAGACATTCAAGTATATTATTTTAGCCAAAACATCTTATGTTCAAATGTGTGCTGGCAAAAGTAAACTGTCATTTACATTACATACCATATATAGTACTGGTAAAAGAGAATAAAAGAACACTGTACTGACACATCCTTTGTTTTAATGGCACCTAAAAACAAACAAAAAAACCTGATGTATACAAATAAGTAGGAAGAATTTCTCTAAAATTTAGAAATATTAAGGAATGATTGATAAATCTATGGTATATAACAATTAATAGCCATAGGAGTGGGAGATAAGGGTCTGGCAAATATAAAAATCAAAATACACTGAGTACAATGCATAGTACTTAATAATTTTTTTTTGAAGAAATGAAGCCCTAGCTTACTAAAACTTGTTGTGTGCCATCAAGTCACTTCTGACTTAGAGCGACCCTACAGGACAGAGTAGAACTGTCCCATAAGGTGAATAAAACTATGATCTTTACGGAAGCAGATCACCAGGTCTTTTCTCCTGCAGAGTCACTGATGAGTTTGAACTACAGACCTTTTGGTTTGTTGCTGAGTAATTAACCACTATGCAATCAGGGGTCCTTTAATTAAACTTAAGCATACCATATGAGAACTAACTTTCATCATTCTTTTTTAATGATATGGTAGATTAAGATTATTTTTGTGCGGATTTTTTTTAGAAAAGGGGTATTCCTACATCTATATCAGGCAGTCAAGGCAAAAATGAACAAATGTTTAGGAAAAGGAAAACACAGGGAGGTGCACAAAAGGTACAGATAACAAAGGTAAATACTATTACATGCAATACTGTATTATCAGTAATAACAAACACTAATCTGTGGGTGGATAATTGGTAGACAGGAAAGAAGATCAGGTATGGGTAGGTGAACCTGAATATACCCACAGCTATATATAGGTTGAGCAGACGATACTCCTACATGCACATTTGTATGTGCTATAAAAATGTCCACATGCAGAACAGAGCTAACAGGGGACAGTGTTAGGATAACTTCTTAGCCACAATTAAGGATCATGAGGGAGTGAGTTGCTGGGCCCTGCGGGCTCAGGACCATGGCCATGGGGGACACCAAGTTCAATTGGCTCAACAGAATACTCAAAAATATTGTTTTACATCCTACTTTGGTGAGTAGCGACGGGGGTCTTAAAAACTTGTGAGTGGCCATGTAAGATGCAACGAATGATCTCTCCTTGTCTGGAGCAAAGGTGAGTGAAGAAAATCAAAGGTGCATGGAAACAATTAGTCCAAAAGACTAATAGACCATGAGAAGCTCAGCCTATCTGACCCTGAGACCAGAAGAACTAGATAGTGCCCGGCTACCAATGCCAACCTCTTGGAAAGGGATCAATATTGGAGATCCTGGATAGAGTGGAAGAAAAGCATGGAACAAAATTTAAAAAATATAGAAACAACCAGGATTACTGGTTAGATAGAGACTGGTGAAACCCCAAGACCATGGCCCCAAGTCATCCTTAGAACCTGGAATTGGACTCACTCCTGTGGCTAACTTTTAGCCAAACAAAAGACAGGCCTATGATCTGAGCAGCTAAACCAGGGAGATGTACTCCTTAGAAAAATCAACCACAGGAGATCAGAAGAGCAGCATTTTTGTAGAAAGCTAGGGAGGCAGGAATGCATAGGTGGGAAGGACTTAGGGAAAAGGTGATCACAGGGAAGAAGTGAGAGGAGAGCTGTTACATTGTGGGGATTGTAACCAGTGTCACAAAACAAAATGGATATGAACTACTGAATATAAAATGAATCTGCTTTGTAAAATTTCACCTAAATCACAAAAAGTTAAAAGAAAAAATCAAAAACAAAAAATCTTTTACGACTCATGGGACATATAGTGCTTATCTAAATTTTCCGCCTCTGGGATTTAGTGAAAAACCCACATTCAGTGCATTCGTCATTTGGTGGGGGCCTGTATAACTATGTGAATCTCAAGAAACAGGCCTCATCCCCAACTCCAGGACCAGAAATCCCTCGGGAAATATACATCTCACTGATTGTATCAAAACCCCTATTACCTCAAAAAAATTAGGTCCCCTGCCATTGCATTCAAAATGTTTCCCATTACTAGAAACATAAGGTTTCAAAAAAAAAAAAAACCTCAAAGTGGAAAATAATTCAGTCTTGAAAGGGTTAAATTTAAAAACATGTTAATTATAGCATATCACTCACCTGGATCCTCGAGAGAGGGGCATTAAATTGTAAAAGTAATAAACTAAGGATAAGATTAAGTTGCAAACAGCATCAGTCTCCTAGGAAAAAGAAACATGCCTATTAACCTAAAGACTAGACTATAAACTAAATTTTTATAGGAGACTAGACATATAACAATCATTTACATCAGGAAAAAGATTGTTTTTTTCCTCCTCTCTAAGACCTGACATTTTACATTCTTATATAATCTTTACTCTTACGTATCATTTTTTTCCAATGAAAGGATATACTCACAGGTCAATTTAGAGCTATTTTCCCAGTGTTTTTTTTTTTTTTTAATTTCAACTTTTTCTGACAAATATAAAAATTTGTCTCCTTTAATGTTATTTAAAATGTCAAAATATATATTGTGCTTAAAATAAAGCAAAGTACTTATTAGTGCTGAATATGCTTCCTCAAACTACATACATCACTATGCATGGGGAGACAGCTCAGGGGGCAGGAGTGCATGGAGGGAAGGACACAGGGAAGAGGAAGGGGAAGGGGAGCTATTTGCATTGTGGGAAATTGTAGTCAATGTCATGAGACAAAGTGTATGTGAACTGCTGTATGGAAAGTAAATTTGCTCTGTAAACTTTCACCCAAATTAACAATTAAAAAAAAAAAAAAAAAACTACATACATTCCTACCTCACAAGATTCTGGAAAGCCCCCAGTCCATACTGAGATTTAGGTGATAAATATGATTAATTATGTATACAAGCTCTGATGCTTAGTTGTATGAGATTCCAGTCAGATAAGTGCAGTGACATTGTAAGGGCCCCAGGAACCTATTCAGGAACATAGAGGGCGGCATGTCTACCACACTACAGGCATGGTGGTAGTCTAAGAGACACACAAAGTGAACACGTCAGAGGGTCTGCTTCAAGGAACTCCCACTCTAGTCAGGGCAGATAACCAAAGGTAGAGGATACAGACTAGGAAGGGGCTACTAGGTGCAAAGGATACATAACCTTAGTCTGCTTTCACTGCCAAATAAAATGCATCATCAAGTTTAAATCCAAAATCTCATTCTAAACATATGATTATAAACAATAGCCACAGTGATGAGAAGAAAACAGAAGATAAAGGGGAAGCATAGACCATTTTCATTATGGACCAACTTTTTCATTTAAATCTTATTATTAAGACTATACTTATGATAATATATGGCATAGCACAAAAGCTTCCAACTATGTAAATTTATTATTTCACCCCAATTACTGTAGTTACTAAGTTTTTTTCTATGAGAATATTAAAAAAGAAATACTAGGTCAATTAAAACTGATACCAAGTATAGTATGTTCAATTATAATGAAAGGGCAAAGGTTTTTTAAAAATTTTACAATATAATCACAGGAAGAATGGACAAAATGGAAAGAAACCAAAACTTACCCCAAATTCTGATGAGAGAATTAATACCTTCCCTTTTGCTGTCAGATCTTTATAAAGCGCATCTATTTCAGCATGATATAATTGTGTTCTTTCTTCTGTGGTTTGCGTTTCCACAGAAAATAGTATATTGCCTACTCTAAAAATACAAGAATGAGTGTAAAAAGCACCTATTATACAGTTTAAAGAGTCAAACAGACAGTAAAAAAAGGAAGCAAATAGCATGTTGATGTGGCGCTAGACAGAGCTAAGAAAGTATCCCATCTTTTTAGTTATAGACAGTATGGTATGTTTCTTAAGTATGCAATTATTCCATGAAATGGAACTGTCATCTTGCTTAGTCTAACTATATATATTTATTATATAAGGTTATACTAATACAGGGGAAAACAAATTTACATAGTAAAGAATGCATTTAAATGGCCAGTAAATATTTTATCAGACAGCTATCCCATTATGATTGAAAATCAAGAGCAAGAACTATGTTATGAAGAAAGTTCAGGGAGTCCACTTTTAAAACTAAGCTTCTGCTTCATTCTTTTTAGCTCTATAGAGGATATAAAGTCCTTCCATAGGGAGTAACAAGGAGCTCTGGTGGCATAGTGCCTAAGGCATTTGACTGCTAACCAGAAGGTTGGTGGTTCAAACCCACCAGCCACTCCATGGAAGAAAGAGTAGGCAATCTACTTCTGCAAAGATCTACCACCTTGGAAACCCAAAAGGGGTTGTTATGAGTTGGAATCGACTTGATGGCAGTGAGGTTTTTTTTAATGGGGAGTAACAAGGTCACGTATTATTATGAGACCATGTTTAGCACCATAACAGAGTTCATCAGGAGTTCAAAGAAGGGAGTGAATATATCCAATTTGAAAGACATAGACTGAAAAACAGGAAATGCTTTGTAGAAGAAGTGGCCTGAAGATGTGTCCTGAAGAACAGGGATGAAATGACCAGAAGCCCAGAGATGGAGAAGTGCTAGGTGAACTTGGGAAGTAAACAAGCAGTCCAGTCTGATTAGCAGGTGAGGCTCCTACAGGAAAATGATGCAAGATATAAAGCTGGAAATATTGTCTGAGGTCACACTACAGAAGGCCTTGAGTGCCAGCAGAGAGGTTGGTTTTAGTATAGAGAAAGGGAAGGGATCTTTGGTGCAAGGGGAGTACCCAACAGAGTAGAGCTTTAGGATCATTAATGTGGCAGTGATACACAAACGGACAGTAGAAGGGGAGAGGAAACCAACTATGAGTCTCTGTGAGAGGCTATGAGGCCCACAACAAGGGCAGTGGCAATGAAAGAAACACTGGGCAATGAGGGTGAGGACAGCTGAAGAAAGATGCTACATTTAGGGGAAGGAATTTTATATACTCTTTTATTCAGTACTTCTATTTCTGACTAAGAACTTAATCTGAGGATATACATCCTGGATTTATAAAAAGACAGGAAATTTTTTTATTTTAACAGCGAACCCTCCAATTCCTTTTCAGGGAGAGTACTTCAGTTGGAAAACTAGTTTGATTAAGTGGCTTGGGCTAGAGAGCAAGACCTCAAAAATATGGAAAAGCAAAATTTGAAAGTTGTTAAACCTGTATGTACATATGACGGTCTGTGAATAAATTTTGACATAGAGCCAGAAGAAGACGCTCCTTGTTGTTTGAGAGAGAAAAGCACATGAAAAAGCCAGAGTTCAAGAGACAGGAGAATGTAAGTCACACTCCAATTGGAGAACTGGCAGGAATGATCAAGAAGGCTCCGACTTTCCACAGGCCATGCAATGGAAGAATGTGTAGGTGGCATATGTGTGTTTGTATGTGTGTATGTCTGTGTGTGTGAGAGAGAGAGAGACTCAAGGTAATTCCACCTAAAATTCAAGGAGGCTCCTAGATGAAGTTTCGATATCCCAACCCAAATTCATTGCCACTGAGTCATTTCCAACTCATAGTGACCCTATAGGACAAAGGAGAACTGCCCCATAGGATTCCCAAGGCTGTGAATCTTTACCGAAGCAGACTACCACATCTTTCTCCTGCAGAGTGGCTGGTGGGTTCAAACTGTCAATGCCTTGGTTAGTAAGCTGAGCACTGAATCACAGTGCCACCAGGGCACTTTGTTTGGATATCAGATGTATATAAAAGTATAGTTAATAAAGATGTTCACTGCAGTGCTATTTACACAGTTTGAAAAAAAAAAAAAGGGAGTGGGGAACCCCTTAAATGGTCAATAACAAAAAATTAGTAGGAAAACCTTTTCAATATCCACACAGTAGAATACTCTGCAATGCTTAAAATACTTATAAGAATACAACATGGGAAAATGTTTATGATAAAGTAATGGGAAGGGTTAAAAAAGAATACTTATAATGTAATCTCATTTTTTAAAGGCAATAATTTTTACTTTTTTTAGTTTTGCTTATCTATACCAAATTTCTACAATAAAACTGTATTATTCTTATAATACATTAAAACTTATACAACAAAACAAAACTTTCCAATGGCTTCAATTTGCCAACATCTTGTCTTTTTATTAGTCAAAGTCTTCTGAAACTTCAAACATCTAGAAGAATGCTTTCCTCAAATTATATTAGACATTGTACTTAATATCTAGAAAGCTGTTAGATTAGCATAATCTGAAATTTTATCCGCCAGTATAATACTGTATATGTAATGTCCAAAAGATAACTGGTTGCAGCTATACACTGGACGTTGATCATTTTCATTTCAGGATAAGAGCAAACACCCACTATTGCAGTCTCCTAGGCGAGACCATGCATGTGCACACTTCCAGCCACAAGCCCTTACTTCATCCCCACGTCGATGATGCATACATACTTGTCTCCTGTAATAGTGATTGTGAATCCATCATATTCCTTCCCTGGATCTTTCAGGCTGGGGACTTTTGTGTTCACAGTGAACCCATCCTTTGTTTTAGTATTAAACTGCTTTCAGGGAAAAAGAAAATTAATGTTACTAGCCTATAATTCACTATAAACCTCATCTGCATTTCTGTAGTGCTTGCTCCAACCTCTATGTATTTAAGAAGAATCACAGGAGTCACCTGATGCACAAGGCTGTGTGCTCCATCCCAGCAGTTGGTAACTGAAGTTTCCTGTACTATCCTAATGCTCAGTGCAAACTCTGACAGCCCCAGTGATGCTCCTCATGACCTCTTTGGAAATACAGCACAAAAAGTACTGGGCTCTCCTAATCAACAAGGTGCTCTGCTCACTTCTGTGAGCTCTTGTTTGTTTCTCATGTTCATTTATCTCTACAAGCAGCAACTTTGATTCTTAGCAGAGTAGTTGTACCCAATATCCTCAAAAACCAAGTTATATTATGCTGAGTGAAGTAAGTCAATCACAGAAGGACAAATATATTAGTCTGTTATTGTAGAAAGTCAAGGAAAGGTTTATATATGGAAGGAAACTTTCTTTGTTGGTTTCCAGGGGTAGGAGGGGAGGGGAGGGAATACTGCTAGATAGAGACAAGTATTGATTTGGGTGAAGGGAAGGGCAATGTACCAAATGTGAGTGATCAACACGGTGGCATTGTGGAAGAGGAAGACATAGAGAGGTGCATGGGAGGTACAGACAACAAAGATGAACCTTTTTGCACATACACTACTGCTTTGTCAGTGATGGCAAATATTGATATACATGTGGATAGATGAGTGGACAGGCTGAACGAGTAGGTATGTCTATGCAGGGGGGAGTGTGCCCATGATCATGTATAGGGTTGGCAGAAAATTCTTCTATAAGTGTATTTGTATGTTCTGTAAGAATTTCCAGGTATATAGTAGAGCTGACAAGGGGCAAGATTGTAGTCACTTCTTGGCCACAGCAGCTACCCAGAGGGAGTGAGTAGTTGGACCTGTGGGCTCCGGACCATAGTTACAGGGGACATCCAGCTCATTTGGCAGAATATACTACAAAAAAACATTGTTCCACATTCTACTTTGCTAGTTGTTGTTGTTGTTATTATGTGCCGTCGAGTTGGACCCGACTCATAGCGACCCCTCCTTGGGTTTCCAAGGCAGTATCACTACGGAAGTAGATTGCCCCATCTTCCTCCTGAGGAGTGGCTTAAAATCTTGCAAGCAGCCATCTAGATGCAACGATGGGTCTCTCATCAACCAGAGCAAAGAAGAATGAAGAAAACCAAAGATGCATGGAAACAATTAGTCCAAGGGACTGATAGACCATGTGATCTTCAGCCTATATGACTATGAGACCAGAAGAACTAGATAGTGGCTGGCTACCACTGTCAACCACTTGGGGGAGGGGGGGTCTATGTCAAGATCCTGGATAGAGTGGGAGAACAATGTGGAACAAAATTCAAAAATCTTAAAAAAAAAAAAGGACCAGGTTTGCTGGTCTGATAGAGCCTGATGATACCTCTGAGACCATGGCCCCAGCTGCCCTTCACGTCTGGAATTGAACCCACTCCTATGGTTTCCAGCCAAACAAAAGACAGGCATATGAGCTGAACATTTGTATTAGGTAGATGCACTCCTTGGAGAGATCAATCAGGGGAGAACAGAAGGACTGTGTATGCACAGGGAGACAGCTCAAGGGGCAGGAGTTCACGGGAGGGAAAGACACAGGGAAGAGGTGGCTATGGGGAGGAAGTGGAAGGAGAGCTGTTGCACTGTGGGAGACTGCAGTCAATGTCATGAGACAAAGTGTATGTGAACTGCTGTATGGAAGATGAATTTGCTCTCTAAACTTTCACCTAAATCACAATAAAAATTTTGAGAAAACAAAACAAACAAACAAACAAAAAAACACGTTATGTTCATGTTAGAGCTCCTTCAAAGCAGAGTTTGGGTCTATTAGGGTTTTTCTGTAAAGTATTTAGGATTATATTCACCAGCTGGTCAGGGTCATTTATACACACGTTCACTCTGACTCCACAGACCACAAAATATGTTTAGGGGGTTATACGGCTGGCAGAACGGCCCTCAGGGGAGATCAGCATGAAGGCAGTTTCAGATGCCAACTCTTTTTAAAAATGTTATTTATTTTGCTGTTGTCATTGAGAATATAAACAGCAAAGCACACACCCATTCAACAGTTTTTACATGCACCATTTAGTGATACTGATTACATTCTTCAAGTTGTGCAACCATTCTCATCTTCCTTTTCTGAGTTGTTCCTCTCCCATTAACATAAATTCACTGCTCTCTAAGGTTCCTATCTAACCTTTCAAGTTGCTGTTGTCAATGTGATCCCATATAACTCACTGCCATCAAGTTGATTCTGACTCACAGCAACCCTCATTGGGTTTTCAAGGCTGTAAATCTTTATGGAAGCAGATTGCGCCATCTTTCTTCCATGGAGCAGATACTGGGTTTGAACTACTGATTTTTTGGTTAGCAGCCAAAAGCCTTAACCACTATACCACCAGAGCTCCATGATCCCATATAAATAGTACTTAAAAGAGCATAATGCTCAAGTAAGACATTTTTATTAGTTAACCTTAGCTATTGCTTGGTTTTAAGAAAATTTCAGGCATAGTTTTGATTTAATCTTTAAACCTTAAAACAAAAATATCAGGTGTCAACTTTTTGTTTAAATATTTGCAACAAAACTGAAAAGCCAATAATAGCTTCTATCACTGCCTCCTAAAAGGGCCCCCTAAATTGAGTAATTAATATTGCCACCTTTTTTTTTTTTTTTTTTAGGATTGATGGACTTGAAGTAAGAGAACCAATAATAAAATAAAAAGCAATCCGGTGAGATCAAGAGGACAGCATTTGCCTATGGATAGAGCTAGGAAGGTGGGAAGGATGGAAAGGGAGGATGAAGGGAAGGGGTGGACACAGGTAGGAAGTAGGAAGAATGCAGTTGCATTATGGGAATTGCAGTAAATATCACAAAACAGAAAGTATATGGATTGTTGAATTGAAACCCAACTTGCTCTGTAAACTTTCATCTGAATCACAATAAAAAATAAATAAAAAGCAGTCCTGCTTCACATGAGAAACTCCTAGCAGAAACATTCTCTAAAACAAACATGATGGATCAGGTGTCCACTGCAGGCCCACAGAAAGACATGGGTAGACAAGTGGACATAAACTCACTGCTCAGGTGTTCAAAGCCAACGGTGGGAACTGAAATGGGAGGATCTAACATGAAGAAGAAACTTTGTTAAATGCTAAACTATATGCCAATTCTCATTTAAACTTCACAACATACTTGTAGAATAGGTTATTATCTCTGTTTCATAGATGAAACAAACTTGGTGATTCTCTAGCATGTACTTACAGAGCTGGGAAATAGCCAATAAAACCAGGCCTTTAAGACTCCAAAGTCCACATTTTTTTCTAATAAGCTGCTTCTAGGGGATCTAAGATATAATTAAACTTAGTTTTCTTTATTCTGGGACACCCTCTATCACATATACAACAAGAAATACAACAAGTAAATGGTGCTTGTATTAGAGGGATTCTGAATTAGAGAACTGAGGAAAGCAGTGGGCAACTGCAAACAGACAAGAATCAATTAATTGCATGTAGTAGGAAAATCACTTCTCCTACCATCCCAGCCACATGGCTATTTCTTGCTGTGAACTGGGATACTGGCCCTAGAAAAAGAGGCTGATTCCCTAACCATCATAGCCTCTCCCTATACAGGACCCAAGCTTCTGCCCTAAAATCAGTAAGGCAGGCCTCCTTGGGGGTCTGTTTAGAGTGTGCCGGCACCCCCCCCCACACACCCAGACACTATCAGTTGCAAGTCTATTGTGAATTGCTACAAAAGGTCCATGCAGCAGAGTCTGCTCCATAGTCAGCACACTACTTGCCTCTCTGTTCACCACACAGCTCAGGCTTCTGAAACCAAGAGGACAGATCTCCTAGGGAGTCAGTTCTGGTCTGTCTGCTCCCCTTGTCAGAAAACATTGAGGACTGCTGACTGAAGCTGCTGTGTTAGGAAGCAGGAATCTTGAGTGGAGGCTGCACTCATAGTCAACAATCTACTGGGAGGACATAGCAACAAGGCAGACCTCCATGAGCATCTGACTACCGTATGAGACCTCTTCCCATGCCTGGTAATTGTTGGTTGCCAGATTGCTGCTAACTGGGATAGATGGCCCCTGCAGCGGAGTCTGCTCCATAGTCAGCACTGTACCTACCCATTGTGTACTCCTTATCTTAGACCTCTGACACCAACAGGTCAGACCACCTTGGTAATCAGTTTGGATCTGTCTGCATCCCCTGACATTAGGCACTGATGACTCCTGACCAAGGCTGCTGTGTATTAGAAAGCAGGTATCTTGAGTGTTGGCTAAACCCACAGCCAGCATACTATACGGAAGGCTCTGACAGCAACAAGGCAGACCTGCCTAAGGGTCTGTTCAGAGTGTGACTACCCCACCCCCAACTGGTTCTGGATTGATACAAACTCCTACAGAAAGTTCCCTACAGTGGTCACCTAAGTGGAGACTGCTCCCCAACCACCACAGGGCCATTGGAGTTCTGAAACAGTAAGATTTCTTAGAGGTTGCTCTGGGGAGTGCCAGACCCTTCTGAAATGGAGGAAAGTCTGCTTGTGTTTCTCCTGAATGTTAGTTCAGATATAAGCAGCTCCTACAGAGCAGAAAAGGAAACCGTAGGTAAAACGAGAAGGCAGCACCCAGCTCCCTGGGTGTGAGTTTTCTGATTGAAAACATAATTGCAGAAACAGAGAAGGGAAGGAAGTAATAACCAGAGAGAAAGACTGTATCTCCCAGTGGACAGATTGATTAGTACACAGTATCTCACCTGAGTAGTGGTGCCCACTGTTAGATAGACAGACCACAGTATATTCTCTAGTGTGTTTGGGAGAAACTGTAAGTTGAAACATGAGATATGGAATTTTCAAATCCCAATTAAGCCAGGGAGGGAGAAGGAGATACTCCAAGAGAGGAAGAGGAAATGGTAAGTGAAGGCTGAAGGCTCTGC